TTAATACTTTCTCCTAGTAAATATAAAGCTTGGTGTCTTGGATGCTTATTAGAAGATCACTCCATTAAACTATTACAGTCATGTCTGTTTCGTTCATGGATAAAGTCCAAGTGCCTCTTAAATACTGCCTGAAACATCACTGTCCAATAAATACTTGTTGAATAAATGTAATTTATTAGTCAGTTTTCTCATTCCTGTGGCAAAATACCATACGCATGCAACTTTAAAAAAGGAAGTGGTTTATTTGGCTCATGGTTTCAGAGGTTTTAGTCCACAGTAAGCTGGCCTCAAGACCCTTGTGGAAGGGTATGGTGGAGCAAAGCTGCTCAATTCATGCCATCTGGGAAGCAGAACACGAAGGAAGAACCCTCAGAGTCATATACCCTCCAAAGGCGTGCTCTCTGTGTCCTGCCTCTAACCAGAAAGCACCTCCTAAGAGCGCATTCATTTGTGAACACTATTGGATTAATCCATGGAAGAGCACATGGCCGCCATGATCCAATCATTTCTCCAGGAGTCTCTTCGTCCAGTCAAGTTCACAATTAAGATTAACTGGCACATGAAGTTTTATATATTTCAATTCTAACGGATTTTTGGTTAGTCTAACTCAGGGATGTGTTACGAAAAGTATATGGATATGATATATAAAGTATATATTTTAAATGCCTAAGTAAAATTCACCATAAAATAAATTTAAACTGTAAGTTATGCTCTACTTTGGATTACATTATAATTCTATACCTCTATATATTTCATTTATTTATTTATTTAGTTAGTTTTTTTGAGACAGGGTCTCACTATGTAGTTGAGATTGACCTGGAACTCACTGTGTAGCCCAGTCTGGTCTTGAACTCACAGTGATCTTCCTGCCTCAGCCTCCTGAGTGAGAGGATTACAGACATGTGCCACAACACTCAGCTCTATAATTTATTTTACAAGACTCCTATGTGAAATAAATAAGTCACACATGTGTAAATACTGAATAATTTCTCTGGTGTGAATAAACTATAATAGTACATAAGATCCTAATGAGATAATTGACAATGTGAAATAGAAAGAAAAGGGCTAAAGGTGTAGGAAAAGTGGGAAGGGTAGGAAAAAGATAATAAGAGAAAGGAAAAAAATAGGAGAAAATGAAAAAATGGAAATAAAATGTTTGTAAATGGGTAGGGGAGCAGGGGGTAAAGGGAGGGCAGGGATAAGGGGAAAATGAGAACCAAGACCTGTCATGTAAAGGTACAAGATACCAATAATGAAGGTAACTGTACTGTATGTGTACCTAAAATGTACCAATAAACAATGAGGGAAAAAATAAATCCTTATACTTCATCAAGCTTGCTTATGAAATATATATTTGTTCTAAAATAATGATGCCCCTGAAAATTACACCGATTACTTGCCTTTAGTATTTCTTAAAATTAATGTTCTCTTTCATGATTTAGCTAAAAGATCCTATCTTTGATTTTAAAATGATAAAATATATAAACCACACCCAAAACAAAAATAAATGCAGTATAGCATTTTGACATAGCCTTAGCAGAAACCAGCTTCAAAGATCTGTACAAACAGGTGACATAAAATAGAAGTTGTCTATAAATGGAAGATATGGGATGTTCTAATTCTAGTAGTCCATATTTCTAAGTTTACTATTAATTTGATAAAGTATAAATCCTGATATATTTTTATTAATTGATTCTCCTCTTTTTGTCTTCTACTAACCTTCTCTTTTTTCCTCACAATTTTAGGACAACTGTTGTACTCTCAGATCTTTCCTCACCCCAGATCTAGTCAGCCTTGATTAAGCTGGTTTACCAGGAGTTTCTAGACCTGGATTATTATTGTTACTGATTCATTCTCTTCAACCTCATGAGGATCCTCTCCAGGGCTAATGATCTTTCTTCTTTCCTCTTTATAGATCATGCATGAGCCATCATTCAGCCCCTCTCTGCTGAAGCTCCTCCTTTCCTCACTCTTCTCCTCATCTTAAAAACATTTTTATCTCTTGCATCCCTAAAAATCCCTCCACTGACCCAACATTCCTCCATTTCTCTTTTTTTTTCTTCTAAGAAGGGTGGCCTCAACTCACTGTTTTCATTCTTCATCTCTACTGTACCATTCATTTCAACTTGCTGTATAAAAAAAGCTCAGTCCATATACACTCATATGATTTTTGTTTTGTCTTTTGGTACCAGGGATCAAACTCAGGCTCTTGCACTTGAGAGGCAGGCAGCAGCACCACTGAGGTAAATCCCTGGCCCTCAAATGATGTTTTAAAATCACTTATAACCCTTAACTGTCAAGTCCAATTAAGACTTGTCTTATTTGGGCTCTTGGTCACAATGTTTGGATCTCTTTTTTGAGATTATTTTACCCCAATGTTTCCACCTTACCTGCTGTATTGATTCACCTTCTATTGCGATCATCTTTCCTTTCTGTGAAAAAAAAAATGTTTTTGGTGTACTTTTTTACTTTACAATCAAATGGTGAATTCCCAGAGCTCTGTCCTTAGTCCTTTCCCTAGCTATAAAGTTATCCTGGGAAAAACAACCAAGTGGATTATTTTAATGACCACTTCTTTGGTGATATCCTCCATATTTAAATCTTTAGCTTTAAACTCTCTACCAAACTCCAGAATGTTCGTCTCTGTTCCCTGAATAAATTTTGTCTACAAGTTACTAAGCCTTCCGAAATCTAGTAGATCTCTTTTAGGTTCCTTTCTTTGGAGTGACTACTTTAGGAAGAAAAGAAATCTTAATGTTCACTCCATAGCCAACAGGCCAGATTATAGTGCTTTATATGCTGCTTATTTCTGTTTCTCCTCCTTTGGGGAATATATAGAAATGCATTTTCCTGTTCCTTTCAAATTGGGTCTGATGTAAAACTTATTTTGACCAGTGAAGTATATTGGAGGTGATGTGTGTCAATTTAGGCAGAAACATTTGAAAATGGAAATAAAATGTATTTTTTCTCCCTGCTAACTGGCAACATTCCAGAAAGGGGCTGGCAGTTTACATCCTTAAGTGAACATAATCCAGAGCTATTCTTTCAGTAATCAAAAAAGTGGCACAAGTGAGAGATGAATCTTTGCTATTTAAAATGCATAAGATTTTAGAGTTATTTCTTACTACTATATAGGTCCTGACTGATAAAAGATCCAAACCAAATTTATTATGTTCCCTGTGCACATTATCAGAATAAAAAAAGAAAACCATAAAAGTGTCTCACCTGCTCTTTCTCCTACATTCTCTGTTTCTTTGTCTTTGTCTCAGCCATCAGTATCTATATAGTTAACCAGGATAGAAATTTGGGAGCACATCTAGACTCCACTTTCATGTTTCCATGTGTCTATAACTCAGGAAGTTTTTTAGATTTTATTTTCTAAGAATCCTTCAAGTCCATCCTCTGTCTCCATTCTGAGTATACATCTTATTATAGCTTGCCTAGAGAACTAAAATGTTCTCTTTCTCTCCAATACTGGACTTCCCTAATTCCATCTTCTGTGAGGCTTCCAAGATTATTTTTATAAGATACAAACTTTGACTATCCCACTCTCCTGCTTAAAATGTTTCCCCATTGTTTATTAAAGTAAAAATGTCTTAGCATAGCATAGTAGGATTTCTATCTTTTCAGCCATATCTCGGGTTCAGCAATACCTTGTTTCCCCACCACACACATACAGACAGTAACACTCTTTGTCTGATCCTTCTGGGCTTAGATTTCATTTACTCTAAGAAGATTGTCCCAAAAAGACTTCTTAAGTCCCTCCCTTGTGTCACTTCTCTGCCTAAAATGTGCTTTTATTACTGAATGTGTTCTAAAAAAAGAAAAGAAAAATCTTTGCTTACAGGGCCACTGTAATGGCCAGAGATTGTAGCAATAATAATCTTGAAGATGAGAGGATATCTTATCCACCATCGTGTCTTGAAAGTACACATCACAGCCACAACAAAAAATGTTATGGAACTGAAATAAGTCACTGTATCAGATAACCTAACATCTGTAAAGACTATTTTTATATAGCTTATAGTTTGTTGAGGGCTATGTGTTGGGCATGCAGCAAGCACTCAATAAACTTTGTTTTACAAATAGCCTAACAATAACTCTCAGCCACTGAGACATGCACAAGGTATATACTCTCCTTGATTTCATTATCCTGAGCAAATCAGCCCTTGTTCTCCTGGCAGATCATTCTAAGCCCTTAGGTAACTGAATGGATTCTTTTCTTATGAAGTACATATGTAATTCATGTATATGAACATACATTTTAAAATCCAACATTACTTTCTTTTTTTCTTTTTTTTTTTTTTGTACCGGAATTGGAATTCAGGACCTTGAGCTTGTGAGGCAGGCTGCAGGATCACTGAGCTAAATCCTCAACATTGCTGTCTTAAGGAGTTCTTGCATTGACCCATTAGTCCACAATTGTTCCAGAGAGAGGAATTAAATCCATTTCTTTTCGTTTCAGTCCACATTCAGCATTGAAAACACGGGATGCTGAACCAGCTGCGTTTGCCAAAGGCCAGAAAGCCTTGAGATCAGCCCGTCAAGCAATAACCAGCCTCTTGGCCTTTTTGCAGAGATACACAAAACGTGTAGAATCACTTAATTTTATCCCCTCCTAACCTGTTCACGTGGAAATTGGCTGCTCGGGCGAATGTTTTTTTTCACCGCAGCCATGTGTGGAAGGGCGATTAACACTCGCTCGACAAAACCCCTTCCCAGGCCATTTGGGAGTTGCACGCGTTCACACCCGGGGTTCAGCTCGGTGCTGCGCCTTCACGCGAAGCCTTTTTGTTTATGCGAGGACAGAGGGGCGGAGAGGGTGAGAACCTCTAAATGTGCAGGAGGCTGAAAGGGTTATATAAAGCCCGGCGCTCAGACTCGGTGGAGAGGGCAAGGCTGCCGGGGAGCTGGTAGCGGCCTTCCGCCGAGCCTCGCCGAGCCATGCAAACCGCGGGAAGTGCGGGGAGTGCGGGGAGTGCGGGGAGCAGGAACGAGCCATGCAAACCGCGGGAAGTGCGGGGAGTGCGGGGAGTGCGGGGAGCAGGCAGAGTGTGGGGAGCGCGGATACCAGAGACTGCGAAAGCGCGCGCGGCCGCCCAGCGCCGTCCCAAGTCCCAGACTGTCCAACGCAGCGCGGGGCTGCAGATTCCGGGTACAGCTGCTCTGCACCGCCCCGAGCACCCCTACCAGGCCCTCCTGCTGCGGGGCCTGGCTCCTCCCCTCCTCTTTCCACCCTACAATCGGCTCTTGGCTTTGGTGGTTTCTCCAGGGTCTGGGCTCACGTCTCCTCTCTGCTGCTTGTGCTCCCATCCCGCAGATCTGCAGGCTTCTGGAGACCGTGGGAAGCTCGAGGCGAGCGAGAGGAGCAGGCGCCTCATCACCCTGCGGAGGCGGTGAGCGCAGGCGGCGGGCGCTCCTCCGAGCGGTGCCGAAGATCGGGCTGGGGACGCGAGGCCTGAAGGACACGCTCTCGCAGCCTGACCCTACCTTACAATCGCGCGTGATGGTGGCCCAGCCGGTTTTGACGAGGGCGGGTGTGTCCTCCAGAACGACTGGGTCACGGGAGTCTAGCCAAGACAGGGACTGCTGAGAGGCCCCGGGTCACAGTCCCTGAAGGGGAGAGGGATGCTGCGCCGCACAGGCTTCCAATTTCTAGACGGACATGTAGGTAAAGGCGATTCATCTCCTTTCATACCCAGATGCCCGGTGGCCAAGGCATGACCGCAGCCGCAGGAAAGCTTTCCCAATACAGACACCCAGTCAGGTGAGTACCAGGCCTAGAGGAAGGTCTCTTGCTCCTCCAGCGCCAGGGAGGAGCTGGGGACCCTCCTTACAGCTCAGCTCCGCAGCTTGTCTTGCAGTTTTTCTCTCTTGGAAAATCTCTCTTCCAGGTTACTCAAAGAGGCCGTTTACTAAACTGTTAATCAGTGAATATCTAGTAAGTGCTTAAAGAATATGTTATGAACAGAGAAAGTATATGGAATAGTAAAAGAAGAACTGTAGCGTCTTGAAATTGAAAGCAAACAAACAACAGTTTTTAAAAAAATCCTAAAGGTCCCAATGAAATTGAGCTTTACATCAAAGTATGTATATTATTCTCTTGCAAAGCAGAAGGAAGACTGGCGTTAACAGTTGCAGTTTTACAGAAAATCAAAGGTTGACACGTAAGAGAAAGTGGAAATGTAATGAAAAACCATAAAGATAAGAATGATCCGAAAAGCATTCAAAACTTATTTTAAATTACAATGGGCAAATATTTACTGGATTTTTTTTTTTTTTTTTTTTTTTTTTTTTTTTTTTTTA